TTTTATTGGTACGATCTCAACGTCAGTGATTGGGATTTACATTATCCCAGAAACAACCACGAGGGAAGGGGGCGGCGGGGGGAATTCTGGGAGTTGAAGTCCACCCATCTTAAAGTGGCCAAGGTTGAGAAACACTGCTTTACAGTGTTGTTTCTAAATCTAGGAGGACCAAAGAGGACATTGGATTGCAAACAAAACTGTACCAGACATTTTTGACTAGGAATCCTGCAAATTCTTTTCCCCAGCTCAATGCAGAAAGACAAGAGAAAGGGGGTGGGAAAGGAATCCGCTTAGTTAACACCACCCACCTTTGAGACCCTCATCAGTCTGGGCTAATGACTGGGCTCCCTCTTTGCAAAATTTGCAGGAGGAATAGCTTCATTTCGAACAGGGAGGAGATGGGGAGAGAAGCCCCCAGGCTGTTGGAGTCTGTCTCCAGAAAGGGCAGGCTCCTGGAAGGCTGATAGGGCCAGCGACCATGGTTGTGCTGATGCCGACGGTTTTTAAAGATCCCTTGGCTGTATTTATATTTAATTTTTTGCATTGTTTTAAGCGTTGACTGTTTTTATTGTGGTCGGCCACCCAGAGTCACTGGTCTGAGATGGGCGGCTATATAAACTGAATCAATAAAATCAATCAATCAATCAATCAATCAATCAATCAATCAATCATTCATAATGGGATCCAGCCTGCCTAACAACACCTAACTTTTATTACAGCAGGTGGTGAAGGCCGGCTCTTAATCCGCGCTGGGAATAAGGCATACATCCGTATCAGCCTTACGCAGTTCCATAAAACATTCATAATTCTATGTGAAATCTCTGGAAGACAGGAAGTGAGGTGGGAGTTTGGGAGGTGGGCAAGTGAAGGGGCACGGGGGACGGGGAGGAGAAAGAAAAAGGAATACTTTACTTTTTGGCCGTTGAAATATTCACCTCCAAACAGAATGAGTTCCTCTTTCTCGGGGTGTGCAGAGAGAGAAGCGTTGAGCCTGGGGGCCGAGAGGAAAGAGGGGCTCAGCAGGTCGGCCACAGGACTTGGGGGGACAGAGTCCATGAGCCCCAGCATCTTTGGAGTGGAAATTAACGGTTGCTTTAATTCTTTTAACCGGCGGTTTACGTACGCCGCCCAGAATCACGTTTGTGAGATGGGCGGCTGTACCAATCGGATTCAATCGATCAATACGCAGCCATCTTTTAATTGCCTCGTTCGTATGATCATCAGACCGTGACTTAAAAAAACCCCACAACCTAATTAGGAATATCACCGAAGGATTCCTAAGGGGCCGAGCTGACCATGGAATAACTCAGAAAAAAATAATAAAAGGTTATTATCAGATAGTCGCAAAACCACTCCCCACATCTGGGGATAAGAAAGCCCGGGTTCGTCTCCATTCTCACCTGGGGGACGGAGGGGCGCAGGGGGTCTCAAGCACCTGAGTCTTTCCAGCGTCCAGAGTCTGGAATTCAGCTATGAGAGCTTCCAGATCCTCCTGCAAGGAGAGAAACGGTCGGCTTTGCACACCGAAAGGGCGCATGGCGCAAAGACCCCTTGGGAGGGACAACCGCCGCACATTCCCCCCCCCCTTTTTATCTATATCTACACAATTTTTACTAAAGAAATTTGAACAAGATAAAAAGCACACGGATACTGAAAAGAAATAGAGTAGATCGAGAAGAACAGGGCATGGGGAGAGAGAAGGAAGAAAGGAAGAGAAAGGAAGAGAAAAGAAAAAGAAAAAAAGGAAAGACATTTCAAGAAGTGGCTTCCGATCTTCTTAATAGTGGTTATAAATGTGTTTATGTTTTACCCTCTCTCTCTAAGGCAGAGTTTCTCAATCCTAGCAACTTTAAGATGGGTGGACCTCAACTCCCAGAATTCCCCAGCCAGCAGGAATTCTGGGAGTTGAAGTCCACGCCTCTTAAAGCATGCTGGCTGGGGAATTCTGGGAGCTGAAGTCCACCGATCTCAAAGTGGCCAAGGCTGAGAAACCCTGCTCTAAGGCTGCATCCTCATTTCCTTCCTCCCAGAAGCTGCCGTTTGCAACTGTCCGACCCATCAATCGCGCGTTCGTTTTTCTCCTTTTCCAGCAAAAGCGTCCATCGGGGTGCCCAGCCAAAGGGCCCCGCGCGTCTTTCCTCTTGCTCTCACGAGGAAGGGTGGGGAGGGTCCCTCCTCCAGGAGAGGGGAGGCTGGACCTGTTGGGCGGCTGCCTGCCGTGCAGGTTCTGCGGCTCTGCCCAGGAGCGCTCCTGCTCCCTCTGCGCCCTTCCAATCACCTCCTCTTTCCTCGTCCGCTTGGAGACCTTCTTCTCCATCTTGGCGGCCGTCTTCTCGGCTCCCTTGGCCTTCCTCTCCTTCTTGCTTTTCTTGCCCATCTCGGCCGGGGTGGGGGGGCTGGCGCCCCCGCCCTGCCCTGCCCTGCCCTGCCCTGCCCCTCCGGCTCCGCCCTGTGCGCCGCTCACATGGCAGCCCCGGCCTTTCCCTTTCCCGGGGCATTTCCTGCCAGCGAAAAGCCAGACGGGAGGCCGAGTTTGCAAAACCATTGCCATCTGCTGGGGTGGAGGCTGCCGTGCAAACTCGGAGGGGGCGGTTGACGCAGCATGGCAGGACGCTTTTGGAAAGCCCCCTGCCCTGCTCCGGCCCCTGCTTCCTCTCCTCAGGCAGGCCCAGGCCGGGCTCTGGAAGGAGGGGAGGGGCGGGCCTCGCAGTTTGGGATGCTCCTGATGCCCTGGACCACCGTGCTCAGGGCATCTTTCGGCCCCGCACGATCCCGCACCGCGCCCTGCAGAAATCCCATTTTCCCCAGCCTCCTGCTGCTTGGAAGTGATCCAGTTCCCAAGTGAACCCCAGCCTTTAAAAAAGGCCTGCAGGAGGTCGTTTCGTTTTGCTTCCTTAAGCCCAATTGCAGGCGCCTGGGAAGAAAGATTAGCTCCCGGGGAGGGGCCTTGGGCTGGAAGGAGGCCCCCCTCCAGGGTTGCCGGCGTCCCCCCTTTTGCATGCATGCAGCTGATGCAACTTCAGCCAGGATGTGGTGAGATCCTGCGGCTGCAGGGGCTGCCCGTTGCCACCGGGTGGCAGTCTTCTGCAGAGGACGGGCCAGCTTCTTCAGGCGCAACCAGCAGCCTTGCCTTGGAAGCTGGCGGCTCCCCTGGTGCAAGGCAGCCAAAACGTTGCGTCATGCCAGGATGGCTGGCCTGTATTTGTATGGGCCGGAGAATGGGCCTGACTCCACTGGGTCGTCAGGCAAGACCTTTTCCCGAGTCTTTATCCCCCAAAACCTCTTCTTGCCTTCATCCATCCAGAAGGTCTCCATGCAGCAAAACTTCACTGCTTCTTCCTGGGTTAACTTATCTCAAACTCTCCCGGCTCAGCTCCCAGGTTCCTACTATGACATAATTCACCCTTGGGTTCCTCACACATTCCCAGAAAAGCAAGGTTTCTGGTTTTCTAACTTATTCTGGGGGAGCTTTAGGAGTTGTTTCCGTCTGCTTCATCGTGGGGCGTGGCGGGAAGGGCTACTTCCACCAACCATCGTTCCGCAACCTCCCTGTTCACCCGTGTTCACATCTGAACAGCACCCACAGACAGGATGAGTTCCTTTCAGATGCTTTGGGGATCTAAGGGAATTGTGAGGATACAGAAAGCCTGCAGACCCCTGAGAAATTATTGTACAATGAAAGTCCAGGCCCACATCCCACTCATCCTCCACCATAACCCATCTTGCCCTGAGGGCCAGGCAGCAAGGCAGGATTCCCACCAGTCTGATGGGTCTCACTTTAGCTACCCAGATGCCCATCCATGGAAGGTCACTGTGATGTAGCAGCTGAGGTGTTGGACCAGGACTGGGGAGAACCTGGTTCCAATCCATGTCAGCCATGGGAACTGATTAGGAGAAGTGGGGCTGGTCTCTTCCTTAGTTCAACCTACCTCACAAGTGGGGTTGTTGTGGAGATAAGATGAAGGGAACTGTCTTTCCTGAGTTCCTGGAGAAAAGATGGAATGGAACCCTAACAAGTAATAAATAAGCAAGGAGGAATGTCTCTTTCTCTGTGGATGTTCACCCTTGTAATGCATCATTTCTGACCTTGAGGATCATTATCTGAATGTACTTTTCCTGATCAGCTCCATTTGCTAAAGAATCATATGTGCTGGATTCTCTTTCCCTGCGGTCATCTTTCCCGTCTCAAAAAGCAGTGCCAGTGAAATGTGTGTGAAAGGGGTTTAATTGTCCCACCAGCCATTACCACCATTCCAAATGAGCTCATCAGGGTGTGAAATTGCACTGCATTGTGGCTTCCTTATGTTCGCATGCACACATTAGTGGTTTTGTATTGCTTTTGAGGGACATAATCTCCCCAAATTATTTATAATAATAAAAAGCAGCAACATTGCATCAGTAAAAAAACAGCACCATCCAAAGAGAGACTGTTTTAGTCATCTGGAGACCACCATCTTTCAACACTTGACCACAAAGCAGAAGAAATCAAAGCATCAGTCACCTTCAGGAGAAGACAGAAGAACAGCCTTCCCAAGCCTGATGGGATTTGGGATTCCAACTCCCAGAATTCTTAGCCAAGGATTCTGGGAGCTGAAGTCCACACCGCTGGAGTGTTTAAAGTTCTGAATTTCCCAACTGGTGATAACAGCATCTTCATAAGATCACCCAACTGCTACTGAAGTGAAAGAAAGCCTCATGGCTGTTATTCTGGCACAATGGTGGGTGGAAGTCTCCAGAAGATCCTAGAAATTGCTAGTGAGGAACCTCTACAGCAGTGTTTCTCAAGCTTAGCAACTTTAAGCTGTATGGACTTCAACTCCCAGAAGTTGAAGTGGCCCCATGCTGGCTGGGGAATTCTGGGGGTTGAAGTCCATACAGCTTAAAGTTGCTAAGCTTGAGAAACACTGCTCTACGGCCTCTCATCTAATCCATAGGTAAGTCCACTCCTCCACTGCTCCAGTATCAGGTACCTATCTTTGGACATGGAATGGCCTTGGCCTGCAATCACTTTTCGGGATGATGGAAAATGGATGCATTGTTCGATTTTTGCATTCACGCTGAGGCCTCGTAGTCTCTTTCCACCACTGGCTAAACCTGTGCCCATTGGAAGCAAACCGGTGTGCTGTGCGATAGGAACACAAAAGGAAATATTACCCACTTCATCTCAGAGAAGGATTTGGCAACTCAAGTGTACCTCTCCACGAATGTTTGCTCTTTCTGCCTGCCATTTACCCTAGAACAATGGGTTCAGGATGTGCCATCAAACGGATTTCTGAGTTGATAGAGACCAGCATGGGAAAAGCTGCAGCTGGCCCGAGAAGAAAGGGGTCTGAGTGGAGGAGGGAGAGTCAAAAATTAAGAAGCAGGAGTTGGTTCCAGCAGGAGCTGGTCCACCATCATTTTCAAAGCCTGCCCCCCACATTGACCTTGGGACTTTCCTCAAGATCTCTCCATCTCTTTGCCCATATCTGTAGCTCTTCTCTTTCTGCCGCTTGCTTCTCACCTGCCTGACATGCTACTTTCCTCTACAGCTGGGATTACAAAGCTGATGTGCCGAGAGAATTTATGACGCAGTTTTGCAACCGAAGCCATGTCTGAACACCTTTCAGCTGCCCACGCCATGCCTCTGGCAGTCGGCCTCAGCCATCACGGAAAGTCTTGCATCATGAGCTCCTTGGCCTGAACTTGTAATGGAGCAGCCATCAGGTGTGGGGCTAAATTTTTATGCCAGGGGAGATGGGAATAGCACAGAGTTTGGAAAGGATGTTTCATCAGCAGCATCATAAAACGCAGAGGATCCAGCCACCTCTCCTTTTAATAAGGTTCCTGGGATAAGGAGGAGGATCTTGTTGGCAGCGGGTGAGGTGCAATTCCCAGAAACAAATAACAAGTATCATTCCTAAGAACAGAAGGTGCAATTATGCACAGACAGCCCAGGGTCCCGCTGATCACGGGAGCAGGCTCTGACTCCCAGATTGCAACTCCAGGACCAAGATTAGATGCGTCTTTGGAGATGACCCAGGGCTGATCCTTGCTTGGAACTAGGAGCCCAGGGCGGCTGGGGCAGAACAGAGCACCACGGGGAGAAGAGCTTTGGAAAGGAAAAACTTTGCCTTGCTGAAGCAATGAAAGAACGAGAAGAAGAATCACCATATACTGTAATCGCTCACAGCGGCAGTCGGTCTCTACATATTTGTGTTAGGTGGGTGGGAATGGTGTGCAAACAACTACTGTACGTGTAACAAGAGTGGGGAGGAGGAAGTGCTTTCAAAACCCGGCTCTGCTTGGCTTCTTATCCTGATGAGCTTTCCCACAGATGGGATATTTACAACATGCCCAGCAGCTTTTATCTTTGACATTTGTATTTTCCTTGGCTCCCAGAGAAAGGAACCATTTGTGACCGCGCTGGGCTCAATTAATTGCTTTGCAGGGAGCACAACATCCGACGGGGCCAAGCTAAACAAACCCAAACAATGTCCTCAAAGCACGGACGTGTCTTAGCCAAGAACAGGTATGCCTAAAACAAGTGTAAGATAACCATCTTTCGGTGGGGAGATGCGGGTGAGAGAAGGGAGTTTGAACTGCACACAGAGTCAGAGCTGTAGGGAGCCAAAGAACCATTATTGGTTCCTCTTCAATCTGGTGGCAACTAGGGAAGTCAAGGAGTTCAGCAGAAAACATGGTGGAACACAAATTTAGCAGGAGGTCCCCCATTCCTCTGGTCCACCTGGAGATGCTCAGGCATGAGTGTTGGTTATCTGCTGGGCTCAGAGGACCAGAGAGAGGAATGCCTTTGTCTACACCTCCTTTGAGGGTCTGGACTTGGGTCCTTGGCTGGAATCTTGACCAGAAGTCCTGGTTGGAGCGAAAATATCCTGGACCTTTGCATCCGTCCTCCCTCATCCACCACTCAGTTCATGCCACAAGTACAGAGCAGTTGTTGGGGGGTGGGATGTGGGGGTCTGCAAGGTGTGGTCAGAAATGTCAAGGTGGCCCATGGTGGTGTGACTGAAGCACTGCCTGTTTTTTAGGTGTGTTGCACATCATTGCTCGCAGCATTGGACGGCTGGCCACAGACTTTCTCCTCATTGTATCACTGTATTCCTTCTCAAGCCAGGAGCAAAAAAGAGGAACTTCGAGCCATGCGTGTGTTCGGTTTCTTTGTGTTATCCTCCTGGATATCACATTTCACCCTATATTCACAGCTTGCAATAGTTGCTCTATGAAACTAAATCAGAACACCTCTTTTTATGATGTGAGTTTCTCTGGTGCTTTAATACATTCATACAGGCACACATGAATAGGAAGGAGTGAATCTGGATCTTCGGCCAATTCCATTCCCGACTTGGATGCAGATTTACTAGGCTCGTATTTTACTAATGCAACTCAATACTAACAAATGCGCGCTGTCAATTGATTTCTGTTGTTGAAAGGTACGTGGGCTGGGTGAAGAATCAGGTCAAGGAATCTTATTTTATCCCCAAGTGCAGCTAAAT